ATGTATAACTATATTTCTATTGCGTTACTAACGCAGCAAAGGGCTATTTTTGCATATTTGACCTCCTCATAGTAATTTACCTAGGTTGTAAGTGCCATTAATAATGTGTAAATTGCATTCTTTTAGTTACTTTACAATAATATACTGTTGAATACCCGGTACATTTTCAAATTTTCAAGAAAATTAACATGAATCTGGAGGTGTGCTGCTTTAAATGACATACTATAGATTCAGGTTCTGCTCTAAATATGCAAAAGAACAAGCTTGTGATATGCTATATTCTTACCTCTAAGGTTATGAGTTTGTAGACTGTATAAGATTAATTTCAGGTTGAGAAAAAATAATTAACAATATTTACAAGAATTGAAATAAAACACGAATAAAAAAGAATGGCATTTTTATTGTATAGTACGTATATGACGACAAATTATCAAATTTATAAATTTGATGTTTTTGGAATGTTTTTACCACTCATAATTGACAGGGTGACCCAGGTTCGAAAGGAGACCAGACTTGATGTACACATATTTTTTTGCTTTAATCTCATTACCATTGGTGTAAACTAAACCCACACAAAGTATAAAACAAACGCAAGGCAAATGCATACAATTGTGTTCAACGGTCCAAATATAACGGCATATGAAATCGAATTGAGATCTCCCAAGCATATAGATAAAAAAAACTTAACCCGAGCAATAATGGGCAATAACGCAACACAAAACAGAAATTGCCAAGTACTAAGAACAAAAGCAAATGACGCACAACTCTAGTCTAAGCACGTGTAGATAGGAAAACAGTATGACACTCTTCCCAAATTAATTTCGAAGTGCTTAAGAAAATGTATTTATTGAAAAATAATAAGTTAAAAATAATAAGTTCATGTTAGCTGCTGCATAATGTATACTGAGCTCTAGTAATACCTGTAATAGAAAAGGAATAAACTTCTGTACTTATACATTGTATATTAATTCTTTGCAGTCGATGACTTGCTGGAAAGGTTTTATTCTGAATACAACAAATAAAATATAATGCCGTCTTTTATGTTATCCATACTTTTGTTTTTGTTTCGTTTAAAATAAAAAGTAATATATAAATCTGACCTTTTGGCTTGCCATTGCACTTTCTAGATTGTTGTCTCTGTCTAAAAAATGCATTAAATGGTATGAAGTAAATTTCAAACTGAATTAAAAGTGTCTCTTAATATGTGACTTTGGTACTTAGTAACTTATAAAAATTAAAGCAAAACAGAATGCTGCTGCATTGTAGTAATTGGAAATTAAGGTAATGAAGCACATTGATGCCAAAATGTATGATTAGTTTGCTATTGTTATCCTCTTGAGAGAAAGTGAAATTTTTGACAACATACATATTGCTCTATCACATTATGGAATCCGATTCCAAACATGTTATTGAAAACAAAAACCTAGCAGGTGTACACGCATAACGTTATCGCATAGTGCAATGGAAAATTCTAATGGTTTACATGTAACTATACTCAACATTTATCAGATCTGTTTTCTATATATTTTTGATATGTGATGGTAGAGATTTTATTTATAATAACAAAGACTAACTTTGAGTGTTAAGGTATACTTGATAATTGAGTTCAAAAACATGTTGAGAAATCCTTAATTTGTCCACATTTTACAAAAAATTAGGCCTTTGAACCTGAATAAACTGTAAATGGCTTTCTTATCTAACATGTTGTCATGTTAAGATGTCGTCTATTGTTGAAACTCAATGTTAAGTATATTTGATTTTTATATGTTGTGTTAAAAGTCACACCGAAACCGAATCTGTAATGGTATTATCACGACTTTCCGGTTTTACTAGTGAAGAAAAAGGTCACATGGTGCTCTGTGCTTTAATGATAACAGACACCTCACAAAAGGACCGTAAGCTAGTTTGATAGCTCCGCCATATGAAAGAATATTATCTTCAAAACCTCAAGAAGGATAAAAATTGTGTTAACCAAGCAACGTATGATAACATTTATGTATATCAATATCCAAACCAGCGAACCAACGCAGTTAATACATTTTAAACTGGTAACATCTATAAACGAAGCAATTTTCTTATTTACGGTGTTTTATGTGTTTTGCGGCGGTCCAGATTTAAAAATCGACGTGAGGAACGGATAAAATTTTCATAGGGTTGTACATGTGTTAGTTATTTACCGAATATAACAAGGGCCATTTTTAGCGGCGCAAACCAATAATTGATAGCAAACAGTGCAAGGTACTTTTCCGTACATCTTAAATTAGAAATATTGATATTGATGTAAAATCTTAATAAAAGGTTCTTCACTTTGATTTCAAAGAGCCTAATTTTATAATTTATAAGGTATTGAAAGCTAAATAATATTGTTATAAAGGGTTTTAAATATTATAAGCCTGTGATAATAATGTTTACAGAATGAAAACAATGCAATTAGTTGTAAGAGGAAAACAAGTATTGTAAATACATAACAACAATTTGATAACAGAAGTATCACAAATTTGAAGGCACACATTTTATATTGTAAATTGTATTGTATGAAATAATTGTACATTGTCTAGTCTTAAAAACGAAAAAAAAACAAAAACAACCCCAAAAAACCGGAACAAATATGATTAACTTTTTCTTATAAAGCTAATGGGACTACGAAAAAAAGATGTTGTTTCAATAAAAGTTATTTCATGCCCAATATCGTTAATTTATATCAGGAAATTGTCTTACGAATAAGTTTAAAGATCATAACATACTACAAGAGGGCCATGATGACCATTATATCGCTCACCTGAATTTAAAGGCTCAATCCTTTTTTTATCTTTAAAACAACCTTTCTTACCAATTTCCAGAGTTTCGTTCCCAGTTGACCCATATTTGAGATTGACCTATACATCTTTAAAATTTCCAATTTCCTGACCAATTTCCAGGATATTCAAACTGCAAGGTTTTCCATATACGGGTTATGTGACCTTGTTTCTGAACCCAAGTGATCCATATTCTAACTTGACCTTAAATCACCATACCAAACTTTCTTACCAATATCCAGGATATTTGGATAAGAAAGTAACATCTAGAGTGTAAATAAGGATTTTTCGATGTTAGGGCTATGTTACCTAGTTTTTTTTAACCCAAGTGACCCATATTCAAACTTTACCTAAAAATCATCATAACAATCTTTCTGACAAATTTCAAGGTTATTTGAACTGGAACACTAGCCCCTAGAATGTTAACAATGTTATTCCAAAATAAGGGCTGCGTCACCTAGTACACAAGTGACCTATATTCGAATTTGATCTACACATCACTATTACAACATTTTTTACCAATTTCCAGGATATTTTCTTAAAACAGTAACCTCTAGAGTGTTAACAAGGTTTTTCTATATGTGAGCTGTGTGATCTAGTTTTAATCCTAGATGACCCATATTTGAATTTGTCATTAAAATCCAGAGATTATTAGATCAAAACAGTATCCTCTAGTGTTATAAAGGTGTTTGACCCGTATTTTGGCTGAATAACCTAGATTTTTACCCTTGGTGACCAATATTTGAAATTGACATAGAAACTATCAAAACAAACTTTCAGAATAATTTCCAGGATATATGGTTCAATGCAGTAGCCACCAGAATGTTAACAAGATTTTTCTATTTTTAGCGCATGTGACCTCCTTTTTCAATCGAGATGACCCATTTTTTGAACTCATCCGAACAAGTGTTCTGTATAATTTTGTGTGTTCTTTAGGGAGTCTTTAATACTCTCTATTTTAGAATATTAAAAAACATCAAAGACGTTCATAAACTTTACTTTTAAAAGAACAGAAAAAACATTTTTAATTTTTTTGCATCTATGTGGTTATAGAAAACAAGTTTATACTTAATTGTACAGTATTACGATATACATGTAACATTAAAGGTTAATGTAAGTATAGAGCATTACTCTGATTAAATGGAAATTATGAACTACCGTCAAATGCATAACTTTTAATAATAGTGCAAGTTTATAATGTCGCTGGATAATCGTTACGTTTATTAAGAGGTTAATACTTGGTTGCTGCTCGCCATTATGCGATAATGGCCCAAAGATGTGCATAATGGCCAAAGGTCCATTATCGCATAATGGCGAGCAGCAACCAAGTATTAACGTCTTTAATACCTATGTTCGAAATACGGCGTTTAGACATCGCCGCTAATCTTGGTCTTTCTTAGAAACGGACAGTTGTCAATGTTAATTTAACAAATATCTGTCATACACTTTAACCTTCCGATTAACTTAGAAAACATGACAACACAAAATAAATATAAAAAATGTTGTTGTAATGGTGTTTTTTTACGATAAATAGAATACCCTACTCTTAACATTTTTGTGAGAATTGAATTTAGATCTTGTGCTAGTTTTTTTTATGATGTTTTGTGCTTTCAAGAACGGTTTCTAAGACTGATGTCTAGGTCTAAATGCCACCGATTTTATCTCTTTTCTACCGTCAATTTGAAATCATTTTTGGAATTTTTGTCTTGAGTTTACAAATCTTTAATGTTATAATTTGCTGATTGTGATAATGTCATTTTGAACTTTCAAATATTTTGTGTGAAAGTGACTACAGTTCATTCAACGTCACCAGCCATGTTGAAAGTCACTGAGAGTTTATTACGTCATTCTGAACGTGCGCTCATTCACTCGCTCATTATGGAAAAATAATGCCGAGAAGCAAGGCGGCCAAAATTGCATAATGACCTAGATCATGTTATAATGGCCCTGAAATAACCTAGATTTTGTTACTGTATATAGTATCATAGGTATTAAATAGTTTTATATACAAGGCTACTGTCGATATATGAAGAAATCACACTTTTTCTCTAAATAAATGTTTGGTGTATTATAATTTCTATTGCCGTATTAAAACGGTTGTTTGCATTATTTCTAATCAACCGTTTATATAGGATCATCTAACCTGTGAAAAGTCTTATGACTAATAACATAACCTGCAGCAATGGTCGTTTACTTTATAGTTTGATTTCTTTTCGGGATTAAGTTTTTCTACATTTTAGGATTTTCTCAGATTTTGTGACTTCCCAATGTTTTGAATTACATTAAAAACAGGAGCAATAAGTACAACTTAATTTAACTGATTAAAACATCACCGATCATTTATGTCAAGGACGGCATGCGCTTAAGTTTAAAACGTCCGCTTTTAGAAGTAAAATTTCGTCTGCTTACACAATCTTATAAAAACTGATTTGGCTAGGACCGCCTTATCAATCCATGACATACGTTATAACAGCTTATCAAAAGTCAAAACTAAGCGGTCGCTTGCATAAGAAAGATTGAAGCTCGCTTTCATTTTACCTACAACAAATAAGGTACCTATTATTTCTTTGGTAAATATTCAGATACATATAAATAAAGTAAAATGATTTGTATAATATCTTTGTGATCATAAAATATAAAAAGAATTTTATATGAATGTTACAACAGCTATATTATAACAAATTATGACGATGATCTTCACTCTAAATAATTTAATTGATGTCGCTTTCTATTTATATGAATAAATTGTAATATATACGTATATAAGAGATAGTTATAATCACATACTATTTTCTAATTTTCAGATACACGTAATTGTCTTTCAAAGGGGGTAAAGCTCGTGTTCTAAAATGAGAAATATTTTACTTGTGAGTAGACATTCACTTATTATAAAATAAACATTTCCTTTCAAATATGTCATTTTGTATTGTTGATAACTAATTATTGTATTCAACTCAATTGAAGCATTTTTCCTCTCAAGCCTGATTTCCGCAAACCCCCTTTCTAAATTTATAAGGATTCAATTTGTTTCTTATGCTAGCTACCAAAAAGGGTCACAGTTTATTGAAACGCAGACATATAGATTTATTTGTATAAGAATGCATATAATAACAACCTGTGGTTCAAATAAAAAATATTTAAAATATGATGACTGTAATACACCTTTATAAAGTAAAACATGATTTTAATTACATTCATTTGTATTTTGTAATATGAGTGATAGTGTTAAAATGTCTCAAAACGTGTTGGTGTTTTTTTTTTTCATTATAAGATATAAATAGTTCAATTATATAATATAAAAGTCATGTTGAATTAGAAAAACATTCGTGTTGGTTTTTGTCATTTAAATATGGAAGGGTATTTAAAGACAAATTCCATTCATGTAAATAATTTCTTATTTTTTCTTGTAAATTAAAATCCATTCATGTAAATTACTTATTCTTATATTGTAAAGTTTTAAAATTGCATCAATGGATTTAACTTGCAATTATAAGTAATTTATATGAACCGAATTTTTACTTAAATAGCCTTCAATATCTAATGGTCCTAGAATATCTAAATACATTGTAATTAAATAACTTTAATGAATTTCAGAATCAGATTTTATTGATTACTGCCTTCCTGGGGTTATCCTCGGCGTTTCTTATCGTTGACAGCTGTCCAGTGTCATCACCTTGCACGTGTTCTGTTAGTTCCGGAATCGACGGCAACATTAATTGTGGAAGTAAAAGTTTAACTAACATTCCTAATATTAAACAGTCTAGTTCTCATGTGAGCAATTTATATGTGTATTTTAATTCAAACAAAATAACCGTTATTCAAAATAATGCTTTTAGAAATCTGAACTCAATCAACGCTTCATATATAGATTTGCTATTGTATAGTAACATGATACACGCAATTGAAAGCAATGCTTTTAATGGAATCACTAATACCTACATAAGTCTTAACCTGGATGAAAATAATTTATCAGTTTTACCATCGGCAATCCTTAATCTGCATAATCTTAGAAATCTTGACATTCTGCAAAATCCTTTGCATTCACTTGATGCATCATTTATGTCTAATATAGGTAGACATCTGACTTCATTTAGTTTAGATTTAAAACTTTTTACGGAATGGCCAGGTGAACTTCATTACCTTCGAGTGTTGCAGACATTGACCGTAAAAAACATACAGTTTCCGCATTTAGACATAAATGCTTTCCATGGATTTGAAAATACGCTCACAAACCTTACTCTTGTTTCCTCTAAACTCGAGAAAGTGCCTTATGCTGTATGTCATCTCAGTCACCTTTCGTCATTGACATTTAGATATGATAATAACCTTCAGGAAAACAAGTCGTCTATTTTCGAGCCATGTGGTAAGAAATTGTCTTCTTTGACAAGCTTAAACTTAGATTCAAATAACCTCCATATGTTTCCAAATGTTTTCACCTTATTCCCATCAATAACATCATTATCTCTTTATAATAATAAGCTTCAATACATAGATATCACTAAAATTCCCTTTCACTCAAAACTTAATTACTATGAATTTACGGTCTAATCTTTTCGTAGGGATACCATACGCATTGAACAGGTTTAAATCCTTGCAATCACTGTATCTTCACAACAATAAGATATTGACAATTGAAACACCTGATCTAGCAGGATTGAGTTCTTTAGTTACCTTAAGTATTCAAAGTAATCCCATTACGTATATAGAACCAAACGCATTTAAGCATAATGTTAATTTAAATGATCTAAATCTAGATAATACGCATCTTGATCATGTACCTGTTGCAGTAACAAACTTGACAAAACTTTCGTTTTTTTATCTGAGTGGAAGGGAAATTGACTGCAGTTGTGACATGTCATATTTGAAATCCTGGAATGTATCAGCTATTTCGCTATTTTCAACAAAGTGTGCATCGTCATCTGAAACTATCAAACACTTTATCATGACTTCTCTACAAACATGTCCATAGACCCTAAATTTTATTCGGATTACTTCGAATTTCCATTTAAGTAACGTCAAGAAAGAGTTTTAATCTCTTGTCTGATTATATTTTTGCTAATAAAAATAAAACACCCTAAAAATGAAATAACAATAACATTAAAATCGCCGGTTTCAAATTTTCAAAGTGTATACAGGTATTATTAAACTTTTGTTTTAAATTCAGATTTGCTTTACAGCTTTGCAAATTACACTTATCCTAAGTAAGTGTTACGATGTAAACACTTGTTTTTTTTTTTTAATTCTTAATGATTCTTGAACGGATCTGTTTTATTGATTCATTATACATTATTAATTATCATAAAAATTAAAGTTAAGTGCACTTTGTGGAGGATTTTACTTTTAACATAATATTTATATATACATTGATAGATATTAACATTTGAACAGAATTGTTGTTATACATTATGTAACATTATCAGTTATTCAACTCCTAAACAAATTTTCTAATATTGTCAATTAAATATGCACCAGTAAAATATAAGTTCGATGATATGACATTTGAATATTGTTCAATCTAATGGTATTTGAATATATTTCGATATTATGGCATTATAAAGGGTTTTAAACAAATCTTAGGAAATGCGAATGAGGTAAAATATCACGATGTTTATGTTGATGATTAACACAGAATCTAAAATAGATACTGATACAAAACGAATCTATTTATGTGTATTAAAACGAATTTTAAGAGGGGCATTCCCATTCTAGATTGAGTTTGTTTTATGTGTATATGACATGGTAAGATTATCATATGGAAGCGTCTAATACACTGTTTAGCTGATCGTTTTTATATGAAATATTTACTGTAAATTGTAGTACGTAATAATTCAATAACTTTGAAATAAGCAACATCATGTGATTAATTTGTGTCCAGTATGTATACACATATCAAAAGTTTTCATGGTTAAATACATGTTGAAATATTTGCTATTGTCCTTGTTTTGAAAAACACACACTTATGTAGTGGTTTTGTTCAGTATTTATTTTAGAATTATTATAATTTTATGTATAAAATATTGTTTTCTGTTAAAGTGAATTGGTTTATTACTTATGTACTTAGTATGATATGTGACAATATACCATAAACAAATGATATATTAGTATTGTTGGAGAAAGTAAGATATATACTCGGATATTACATTGTTTATATAGCAGATAAGCAATTGTTCGAGAAAAAAAATATTTTTCATTATTTAACTGCTCATACGAAATTGTGATCTCTATTATATGGTGGCTGAGTTTTACCATGTCGTAATTTTGCTCCGTGGGGCCAGATGAAAAATGAAAATACGTTTGTTGTATTTTCATGTTTTCATCTTTAGCTACTTCGGGCGCCTGACGAAGGCAGAAAATATGACAAAATGACAAATTGACGCACTTTCGCGTTGCGGGGCCACATTCGAAAACACGAAAATCAGACAAAATTATAATTATAGACAAAAAGACTACAGAGCCCAAATCAGCCACCATATTTTTAACATTTTGTGCTTTTAAATATTTATAAAAATATCCTTATGATACATTTCTGTTTTCTTGCATATTAGACATAGTCATCTACCGTTTTACAATGATGCTAGAAAAAAATACGCCCCCATATGTAAGACAACCCGCGTAGTTCAAATGTCGTCATTCCCACGCGCCATGTTTAAATAAATTACATTCTTTGAATGAAATTATTTTGCCGTTATGAATGAAGTTGTAAATTCATACGCTTCTATAAGAAAAAAAGTGCTAAACAAAATATTAGTTTAAATTATATCTTTCTGAATAATGATTAATGTGTTATATGCAAGAAAAAAGCAAAGAACCAAACACTGGTTGTCGTCACAGACAAGAATCTCTAGCTCTTATGTTACTGCCAGCGGAAACTCGGATACCCTCGAGCTAGATGTTCCAGTCTATACCAGCAGCCGGTGTAAAAATTTTATATTTGTTATCAGTATTTGAAATTTATATGAAAAAATGTACCCATTTTATATCATCCAAATTTGGAAATTGTACCTAATTTACAAACTTTGTATATGCTATACATTGTTTCCTGTATTATAAACTTATCTTTGATAATTGTATCATTATGTTTAAAAAATATGATAAGAAAATAAATGAAAACTTACAATGATTATTACACGTGTCTGTTGTACTGAAGTATTAGCGTGTTTTCAAACTGCGTTAAGACAACTGATGTTTTTATAGTGTTGGCCTTTTGTCGAGCATAACTTACATAAAACAACGTTTGAAAGGAGAGCTACTACTTGGTATTCTTTATGAAAATTTAAGCCCTCAAAAAGATTTACAACTTCAACAAAAAACGTATCTATTATCACGATGGAAAAAAAACAAGCAATTAAAAGCTCAAGTACATCAAAGCATTTGATGAACATTTTATTCTTTTACAACATGGAAATTGGGAAATACGTTTTTAATGAAAATCGGAACTTAATAATAATTCATAATTTTAAGGAAAATTGACTTATTTATTCATACTGTGCTCGTTTTATGCTTTGAATGCCCATTAAAATTTGGGGCTTATTGAGAGCGGAGTGGGGAAGTTTAACGACACACCAACATTTTAAACGTCGTTGATTCTACTCAGATGTCCCTCCGGCAAGACATATCTATGGTGGAATTCTAACCCACAACGGTTGATAACAACAGACGCCCTCCAATGAAAGTTGTGATCTGAAAGTAATTCTCTGTGTGTGTGTGTGTGTGTGTGTGTGTGTGTGTGTGCATGTGCGTGTGCGTGTGTGTGTTGGTGCGTGTGCGTGTGTGTTATATCCGGAAGCTTTCAGCCCTTAAAAATCCGATTTCATTATTTCCGTACGAAAATCTTTAAACCACATTATAATTAGATATTGAACGAATTATAAAAATGTGATGAACATTCATTTCTTTTACACCGTTGGTTCTTTAATTAATAGTCCTTATGAATAGTTTATTACAAATCGTTTTATTTTTATCAAATAACTAATAGAAATAATTCATAATAAATTCTTTTTAAATAGTAGGCAATCTAACGATTAGATCCTTACAATATGATCTGCCAAATTCATAAAAAACTTTAAGTATAAAGCAATTGGTAAAAAAATAACGTTTTAAAACAGCGTATGCAATTTTGTTAATTATTATCTTGTAAAGTATATATACTCGTATATACATATAAATTGCTTAATACTGCAAACTAATTAATGTAAAAATTTTGAAATGCTATTTCAAAAAACACAGTCCATGAGTTCACTTATTTAATTATTTGCCAACCGGTTTCTCTTATGATCATCAGGGCAAATGTATATATATCTTATTTGACCGGGGGATACAAACCTTAATCAAAAATTAGGATGTACATTTTCAATGACATGTGTTTCAACAGAATAGTATCCAAAGAATTTTAACAAGAAAATTATTTATTCTGTGCAGACATTATAAGAGCGTTAGAAAAACTTTTAATGGACACTTTACTGCAAAAATATGATTAACTCTGACAAAGAGTGTCAATTAAATTGACCATTGGTATATTGCTTTTGTAATTTTTTTCGTAAGCTTTTTCCTTACAGAAACATATCTGTTTTAAATCTAAACTACCAGTAAACTCAATGTTCATTATGAGATATGAATATTGTCCGATTATGTCTTGTACTGACACACATTAACGTGTAACCTTATGAAAGATAGCAGACACTTAAAAGGATTTGACATTTGATATGAACAATCACCCTCTGTGAAAATTGGCATAAGGTTTCTGAATATTTGACGTATATTTAGCGTACTGCAATGACTTATTAAGGTTAAAATGTTCGTAAATGCGATAAGTAATCAATTTATATATGAGAATTGTCATATGTATGGAACAACAATTCAGATTCATTGAAAAACAATTTAATTTTCAAATGCCCTAGATTTGAAAGGTCAAACGGCACAACTAATCTTGTTATGGTTCCAAAGTAATGTTGCAGTTTTTGCTATGTAAATAAATATACGAAATAAAAATATTCTTTTCAGAAAACACCTTGTTTGATTAACGTTCTTTAAAATACACTAAAATCGCAAATACCTGGTTAACGAGAAGCTTTTTATTTTATTTTTTATGATTAAATGTTGTGTGTTATATATACTTGTGTCAAGGATCTTTGTTATCTATTCTTGAAACATATAACATCATTTTTATCAAATCACGCCAACGATATGGGTCATCATCCCAATCTGTATCTCTTTCACAAGCAGGAACAAGATCAAATGAATATGTAATGTTACACTGTAAACAAAAACTACAGAGTTTGAAATTCAATTTTTAAATAACCGCTAATGAATTATACTGGTCAGATAATTGTCTTTGATTAAGCTGTGGAAATGTTGGGCACAGAAGTAGGAGAAACAAAATGTATACATATACACTTGAATTAAAGCATACATACTAGTTTATCGTATTTACATGTGAAACAATACTATATATAGTTTTTACATTTACTTCGGAAATTTTTTTTTCAGTTATTATGTGTTCAAATCAGACGCTGTATTTAATTTCCTGGACCGCAGGACTTTCACTGAGCTTAATGAACTTTAGATTGTAACCTATGTCCTTTTGCCGCGTATATGATTGGAAGAAATATTATTTCAATACAAGCTTAATTTTCAGTCTGATTCATAATATTATGTTATTTTTACATTTTACCATCACAAATCGTGAGTACTGTTTTCTTTTAAGCCAAGCGCATGAACGGAGAAGTAGTACAATGCGTCTCGACAGCATCGAATATTGTAAGCTCGAAAATTATATTTATATTCTGTCAAACTGTGTACAAATGGATTTCGACAATGCACATGCATTCAATTGCGTTATTTCCAAGTATTTATTAATATAATATAACCAGAACACAATATACAGTTATGTTACATAGTATATTTTCTTTGCTACTCTGCACATTTCAACACATGCAAAACTGACATTGCCATATAGAACCGTTTTGTTAGACGCCAATATCTTTTATCAATCAAAACGGAGTTAAAAGACAACGACTGATTGGTATTCCGATTATTATACTCAATGTGGTTCTAAAGGAAAAATGAAAAAAGTAACTTATGCATAGCTTTGTCATTCCCTTTAAAAATAGACATAAACTAAAAAATTGCGTTTACTTAAGAAACTTGATGTAAAGGAGAAAGTGTTCTCATCATCTATTCTCCTAACCTGACATATACTTTTCCTAGTGTTTATGTTTGATTCAAATATTGAAGTACATACGAGTATGCACTAGCTTAAAAGATTGACCATGTATCAAACTACATATGATAGTTAAAGATATACTTTGCTCAAATTTGATATCAGAAATTATTGATAATAGCTGCTACACAGTCTCTTTATAAAAATGAAATAAACATGTTTGACTTCAGACATGTTTAAAAGTCTACACACTACAGGTGGTCACAATATATATATATTATCGAAAATACCATGATCTTTATTTGTCCTGTTATAGCTATGGAACGCGGCTAACAATACATAGTTTAATCATTTTTTTATTCAAATAAGTTATCTTCAGTAAGCATTTCATAGATCTGGATAAATTTCTATGATTAAAATATTTTTCTCAAGAATGAGCATAGTATATCTTTCAAGTGTAATCTGAAAACAGGAAAACGTGGTTTTAATTCATTTATATGAAATATATGTACATCAACGTCATGATAGATAAGTTTGAATTGAAATTAAGTCAAGCTTTAAGGAGGAAGTACTAATACCTTACTAGGACAATCCCTTATCAAAGAGTGTTAACTTAACACAACAACAACAACAGAACAGAGAACCTCTGATGAATTAATTAGGTCTTTCATTTCTTTATCTAAATAAACGTATTTTGAGATATTGAGATAATTTGGTTACACATTAACAATAACATGGTCATACATATGTCATTTTCCTCATCAAATCCTGAAGCCAAATGTTATTTTGCAAACGTCAATCACAACTTTTCATATTTATTTTTAAATCTGATGCTATTAAATGCAACTGAGTTCTGCTGACAAATATGGGCTGATGATGCCACTGACATGTGCTGTTAAATTCTGGAGGATGATTCTTGCGTCGTTATTTTAAGATACTTAAACACACGCACGCACACGGCATCCCTTAAGAACGCCCAAAACGACAGAATTGAAAAATATTGCTGGCTTGATGTTTCTGGACCGGTTCAAGGCGGATACCAAAAAGTGCAAGTTACCGTCCAATCCCCCTATCACTGGCTCATATAAACCTATACTGTATTCCTAGTAACATTCGTTTCGAAAATTTTGATTTTAAACAATATAAAGCAGTTTGAATTTAAATTAAAATAAACTTAATTGCTCATCCTGATGGTGATGAAAGTAATTGCAGTCTAGTCTAATGAAGTCTATGGCGGCGTGGCCGAGTGGTTAACACGTCGCAATCTAGACGTAATATTATTTATATTATTTCAAAAAGCTGTATTGATAATCATATTATAAAGAAAATTTACAAATAGTTTTAATGGCCTGATATGGCCAAATTTACTTTAGTTCATAGGTGGTTGTTCTTTGGGAAGACAGAATTTCCCAATGTATTGTAGTAAGAATTAGTATTAAAAGTTTAGATATCAATAATATATAAAGGCTAATTTTGATATTTTCATATCCTTAAAATATAAACTTGTTAATGCAATAATCACCAGCACATTTAGTGTGGGGCAGCTTATCTATTTAAAATGAGGTGTAATCGATTGAATCGATTCTTTAGATTCTTGTTAATTAAGAAAAGAAAAATATAACAAAGATTACCTCGTTCAGTCAAACCAAAAATTCACCATATGGCATTAATGCGGGCTTTATTATATAGGACAATAAAAACAAGCAAAAAGATCAACCAAAACAACAAAAAGTACAAAAAATATTAACAAAAACAATATTGAAGAGACAAACGGAATCCCACAAGAACGCACAAAAATGCAAAATTAAAAATGTTGCAATCTCGGTTTGATTGAGCCTATTCATAGACAGAAGTGGTGGTAATTGCAAAACACCAACTAACATTGCAATTGATGAACTCCAATATTTTTATTTTCTGACAGTTTATATTTGACAATAATTTAAGACTGAATGAAGAATAAATTGAATACAATACATCTTGGTAGGTATGGTTTTCTTTACTTTACAGTTGAATGCAAGTCATGTAACTGTGTATTCTCTTTGTTGATAAAATTCCAATGGTTGGATGAAAACATACAGACCCTTATATCGGTAAGAAAGTCTTAATGGGTCTTAAAAAATACTTAAACGTTGCCCCTTGCATTCTATCAAGAGGACGTTATATTTTCGATCCTTATACATCTTTTAGTACGACATTATATTTGTGTTTGTCGTATTTTAAGTCAATTCTAGTTGATCTTTTTCTAGTTATGTGTTTAAAGTATTCCTAAACGAGTATTGTATAATTAAGCTTAGGATATGTTTATATGTTTTTGTAACCGACTATAAATAAAGATTATCTTATATTATCTTATCTTTCGCATGCTTTTAAAAACTACCTTTTGACGTCTTATCTGTGATGCAGGCTCCATAACCCCTAACCCCCTTCAAAATTCCATCTTGTTTGTTTCTGCCAGTTATTTTCTTCTTTAGGGCACACTCATTCTTTTACTTGTGAGACTATACGCCACTTTTCATGGAATAGCACGAACGTGTCACATTGTACAAACACATCTGCGAAAGTTCTATTTCTTTGTTTTCTTTCTCAAAGTGAAAAATTCACCATTATATGTTTAAATGTTATATGTTTAAATGTTGATTAATGCTTAAGCTGGTGCTAAGGTGTGCTAAATCAAACCGAGCCTACAATTATTTTCAATTTTGCAGTTTTTGGACGTTCTTAAGGAGTTTAGTTTTTCTCTATTTTAGACAGGCAGGCACAAGTTCGTACATGCACGGAGTTAGCTCTCTTGACATGGTTTAGTATGATCCGAAAACCTTTTTGTTAACAAGTATATGATTTACACAGTAGATAAATAGTATCTTGAGCATTCCTCATGGAAAAGTCATATGATGAAAAACAAAATCGTATCATGTGACATAAATTATTACTTAATATACACCTTCTGCAACGGTTATTGCCATTTTGACCATATCCATCGATTTAGATTTCTCATTCCTAGTTGATTTGCCTTTTTTTAAATAACTGTACTAAAGTAAAAACGATTATATAATGTATGTAAAGATGTATATTTCCTTATAATTAGCAATGCTTTTCCATTCACCTAGTTAAGTATTATATGAAATATCAATCATTCATCTCAGTCCTACTTTTGCCAAGGACGTTGCAATTTTCATATATCGGTCATCAGACTGATAACCAACGTTACCTATTTAGAATTACACATTGACATTGTCAAATATCTGTCTTAGCTGGGATCGTCTTATCATCTAAACACAATATATATAACAGTTTAAATAAAGTTTGTCCAGAGCTTGGCAATCGCTTGCATTTTGAAGACTTTCCCTCTCTTTTGTTTCATCTATAATAGCTAATAAGGTAAGGTTCACTTCAAAAAATTATGATCGGATCATATGACATGTAGTTCCTTAACTGTTTAAATACTTTAAGAGAAATGTTATATGTTTCATATCTACATTTAAACATGTAACATTCTGTTTCAATTTACTACAAATGACTTTTTGTGTGTTTTTATTTTTGTGAAAAAATTGCTATATTTTAAATGCATGTCATCTTTTAATTCCAGGTGCTGGATACTAGAGGTAAACATATATGACCATAGGTGCAATCAAAATGAGGAAAACCATAATTGTAAGTAGGACCGAGACCTTCATATACGGTTATATTTATTATCTGATGCGTGGATTTGCATGTTGCCCAGATTCAATGCGGAAAAAACGTGAAAAACTATATACTGTGCTCTTATAAGCAATCTGACGCTGACGCAGCTCAGCAGATGATTATCAATTTCTGATTTTAGTCCTAATTGACACCTACGGTCATGTTAAAAAAGGTAAAAACTGTGAAAAAGTACCACAATGTTTTGTGATCGTTTGTACACAAGTATCTATGAAATATGTAAGAGGTAACAAAAAAACCCACGCAAAAAAAAACAAGAAAAAAACCCCAAAAAACAACAACAACAAAGATGTGAAGATGTGATAGTGATAGTTAACTGATCATGGAATGTTAACAATATTATATAGTAAATAATTTGTTATTATGAAAATTTAAGCTATAAGAAATTGACTGTGCCGATTATTTCAAAAGACAATTTGTGAATGCCTCTATAAGTAGATGGCTTGATATCAAAATTGAACTCTTCAGAGAGGTGATACTTTAATTAGGAGAAAATTTAACATAATTAACATACTAGTAATGTTATAATATATAAATATAATTAATGTAGTTATGACGTTGGAGCATGGGCCGCATTGCGTCGCGAGATAGTTTCATATTTTGTTCTGTGTAGTCAAATTTAAATACGTATAATGTGCTATAATATTATATGTTTACACCGCAATTGCAAAGCAAATATCGTAAAAGTTTTGTAGAAGCCCTTTAAGTATTTTGTATTCAAACGATATTGTCCATGACTTAATGGGACAACCGCCTTCGTGGTCGAGGGGTTAGAGTCGATGACTTCTAATCCAGTTACCTCTCTGGCGTGGGTTCGATCCCCAGGAGATGCTTTGGTAGTTTAGAGCGGAGGAAGGTAGTCTAGTACTGGTGTAACTCTCCAGGAACGATGGTTAGGAAACTACCCGCCTATATGACTGAAATACTGTTGGAAAAAGGCGTAAAAGGAAACAAACAAACTTAATGGGACAGCCATCGTAATGCTACAATTGTATAACACAAGAGTCCGATTAAAACGATGTATTTCCCGCCATTGACCTACGTAACAGGGCTAATGTGTAGGGATATATATATATATATATATATATATATATATATATATATATATATATATATATATATAGAGAGAGAGAGAGAGAGAGAGAGAGAGAGAGAGAGAGATACTATGTAATATCGAGTCTGAATGGTTAAATATTTTCATATGATGATGCTAATTAAAATATTTGTATAAGTTACATTTGGGTGCATTTCGCATCAATTTAAAAAATAATATTAATGTTAGTAGCAAAATAAGATGATAATTAAATGGTCATTATGCCCATCCAAAAGTTAGTAGTCAGTGATCATTTTAAAATCAAAGTAACGTGATATTTTGCCATAATTGTGTTCAAGGTTATATTTTACTTTAGAAACATAATTTATAATCCACATGACCAACGAAAATTTCTGGATATCATCAAGAAAATTTTAATTTCAGAGAGATTGGGGCAGTTTTTAAAGTTGTCTATTGTATCATAATGTATCATTAACATGATTCATCATAAATCATTGATCAATCGCTGTTATGGTCTTTTGAAATGTATTACTTAGTTAACTCAACTTAACAGCGAATAAAAAATATAACCTCACTTTCGATCAACATTGTCTTCCTTTGTACATGACAATAATTGTGATATTTTTCAGATTTCGATCATATTGCTTGCAGCATTTCTTGAGTCACCTTCAGCGTTTCTTCTCGTCGATAATTGTCCAGTGTCGTCACCTTGCACGTGTTCTGGAAGTTCTGGAAGCAGCTACATAAGGTGTGACAGTAAAAGTTTAACGAGCATCCCTGCTATTAAACAATCTAGTTATCATGTTAATAAGTTATATCTGTATTTTTATACAAATAAGTTGAGCATTATTTTCAATAATGCATTTAGAAATTTTAGTTCAGTCAACGCATCAGAAATAGATTTACGACTTGATGGTAATAAGATAAAGACAATTGAAACAAATGCATTTAGTGGGATTGAAAATACAACAAATCTTCAGCTGCAAAGCAACAATCTTACAACTTTACCTTTGGCAATAGGAAATCTTTTCAAACTAAGAAGTCTTAATATTCTTGATAACCCTTTGCATTCACTTGATGAATCAGTTATGTCAAATATAGGCAGAAGTTTAATTTCACTTAGCATTGACTTCAATCATTTTACAGAATGGCCACATGAACTTCATTTCCTTCGAGTGTTGCATTCATTGTCTGTAAATCACATACCCTTTTCGCATTTAGACATTCATGCCTTTCATGGCTTTGAGCAGACATTGACATACCTTTCCGTTAAGGAATCTAAACTTGGAAAGGTGCCCTTTGCAATATGTTATCTCAGTCATCTATCGTCGTTTGAGTTTAGTTATAATAGCAACCTACAGGAGAATAAATCCTCAATTTTAGAGCCGTGTAGTAGAAAACTGACTTCTGTAACTACCTTAAAATTAGATTCGAATAACCTCCATATATTTCCAGACATGTTTTCTTTGTTTCCATCACTAACGTCAGTATCTCTATATAATAATAAACTTCAATATATAGAAAACAGTAAAGTCCCAAGTGACTCAAAACTTACCTTCTTAAGTTTGCAACTTAACCATTTTGAAAGAATACCCTATGCATTGAACAAGTTAAAATCATTACGAACAATTTACATTTTGGAAAATCATATAACGACAATTGAAACACCAGATTTAGCAGGATTGACTTCTTTAATGATTTTAAATATTAACAGAAATCCTATCACATATATATCGCCTAATGCATTCAGGCATAATCCTTATCTTAGTTATATAGCTTTAGAACATACGCATCTTGACCATGTACCTGTTGCAGTGACAAACGTCACGTCATTGGCCTATTTTTATCTCAGCGGAGTGCCTATTGATTGTACTTGTGACGGTATGTCATATTTAAAACAATGGAATGTGTCGACTATTTCGACGTTTAAAGCAAATTGCGCATCTTCCTCTGAAACTATTAAAACATATATCATGAATGCTCTACAGGCATGTCCATAACACTCGTATCTTTCATCATGCAAATGCCATATATTTAGTATCTAACAAAAAAGAAAGTTATTGCATGTGAAATAATGTAATCATTAATTAAAATAATTATTATTAAAGTCTTGATATATTGATAAACATTTAAAAAACAATTTTAAAGGAGCTCCACTGAGATCAAAATGCCTAAAATTTGAAGTTCTTACATAAGTCAATTCATGTACCTTAAATGTAAACAATTAGCAAAGAATAATGTAGAAATGTATTTATAATTAAATAAATATGGATTTTCTTTGCGATTATTAGCCCGGTTAAGTGAAAAGCCTTGTATTACTTCTATTTTTTGTCACACAAAAAGATTAGTCTGAAAAAAGGATAACGGAATGACCTCAAAATTTGCACACAAGTGATTGGTCAAGAACTACAACAAATTGTTCACAAATCTTGGGGCAGGGGGTTCCAGTCCCGTCATGTAAAAGCTTCAGTGGAGTCTCTAAAAAGGTCATTATATAAGAAGTAAGGTAGTTCATCTAGTTAATATTTTCGTATTTTCTGTAACGTGGTAACCTTTATTAACATAAAACCCGTTTTATTAATAATATGTGTCATTTTACACACAACACAATCGAAGGTATAGAAACGAAACTATTCTTATCAGCGTATAAGAAATCAACTCACTGGAGTCTATATTAAGAAAAACAGAAGCTACGGCTTTTCTATTTGTCAACAGCTAGTCTTTGTTTATATTATACACTATAAATAAGATTGTAAATAAAGTCGATTAAGCAAACAAAAGTTTATTTCATGATAAGGTACATTTACATGTTCAAAGTTAAACAGGGTGGGGTCACATGTTTCGATTTTTTGTTAATACTGGTGTCAAAATGACATAATGGCTTTTTTCGGGATTTTGTGATAATTGCATTGCATTGTATAGTTATATTAACTACTTTACCATGTTAGATAGTCAAGAAAAAAAACAGTAGTATAATCGCATAATAGAATAAACACAAATAGAATATAGATAATTTACCTGAAAAATGCTTTTGATTTTATCAAAAGACAGCGTCAGTTATTTACATTTTTTTTGATGAATAATATTTTATTTATCTTTATATATAAAGACATTCAGGCCAATATATTGTTTTAAGATATTGAAAAAAGGTGTATTTGAAAAGACAGAGTAAGACTTGCGAAGTTAAGTTATCACTCAGTAAAGTGTCAAAAATAAGGGCCATTTGTTTAGCAGATAAAAACGTGTGAAATGAGATAGCAAAGCATATTTATATAGGGCATTGAATTTATAAGTATGTGTGTCATACCATATCCTAAATATTTGTTTGAACATAAAGAAACAAAGGGACACATTTATCCTTATCAAACCAAAGGGATATTTGATAATATATACTATAAGAATGTATAAAAATCAAATGTGATCATTTCATGATTCCAAGTACACCATCAGAAACATACATGCAGATGATATTATCAATTGAAACGAGAACATTTGCTATCTCAAATACGAACACTGGAATGATATATAACTTGAAAAAACATAAAATAAATGAGCATTGCGGAATCATTTTTCGTGCAATTTCACACAACTGAAGTGATTTCCTTGCTATAACTTAATGTCTTCAGTCTCTTAAATCATTTTACGTAATCCGTATTTCTTTAACATTCTAGTTTTTCATGCTTCACTGTTTCATATGCTTTTGCATATTGCCTGATTTCTATTGGCTTTAACTATGTGTGAGGTTTTATTTGTTAAATTATTAAAAAAAATGAATGTCAGTCTTTCTGGTACTTTACAAAAAAAGGATTGTTATCCAATCCAGTTTGCATACTTTTGATTACTTTTAAATTTCTGTATTTGAGCAAATCTCTTTTGTACAGATTGCACATGTATATTTAGTATGTATCTGTGATACAAGTATGTTCATATCGCCAATACTTTTAAACGTGTAGGGCGAGTATATTATTTGTTTACACATGAGCTCATTTCAATTGCAATCAAGTGGTAACGCTTTTTTAAGAGGTTACGAATATCATGTTCCTTACCAGACCTTCATTATTTATTTATAGACATATTATTACAGTTTTAATTCATAAGAATATTTCTTTTATTTCTTTGCTATATGAAGTAGATTTTGTTGACATTTGTATGAATAAAGAATGGTACATTAAGGTTTGAAATAGGAATACTGTCATCACATCAAGAATAAAGTGTTTTGAGAAAGATGATTGTTAAAATTTAGGTATTTATGGATTGGTATTTTTTGTCATAGTCAATGATTGTAAATATGTATTTACGGATTAATTGTTCTCTGATTATAAGCTATGTTATAAGTATGTATTAACAAAATTAGATTGGTCAGAGGCGCGAATACGTACTTATAAATGTTAACCAGCTTAGTATTTTAAATTATTTTTATAAACAGCCGATTTATTAGACTGATTAACAGTTTGCTGATTTACTAAAGTAAATGTGTTACGATTCTTTTGAAATACTGCGATCATATTGGACAAAAAATAATTTCAAACACTAAGTTTTCTTTTTACTTTGCACACATTTTTTTGTTATGCTTCCTTTAGATAATATTTTGTGTTTCACCGCAAACGTTATGGATATTCGTTGACTATGATAACATACTTGGCTTCAGAATTAGTTGTAATAAAAAAGTAAAATTACAATCATTTGTAGTTATTTAGTTTGTATGTATGTATTTTGCCATTAAAATAAATGACAATTATCTATTTAATCTTTCTTACTTAACAAGCATATGTCTCTGGAACATTTAGTTAAATAATTAAATATGTACCTCTGGATTCTAGTTAAATCATGTGAATCAAGTAAAATATAAGAAGAAATTGTATTGGTTAAAATATAATCTTTTCAGATATGTTTTTGTTGTTGTAACTATGGTTCTTTCTTGCAACTTAATGTGAAATTAAGATGAAATAAGAATTCTTCCTTAACAGATAAAACATAATTGATATATTTATACCTGACACAGATATCATCATTTATCAAAAACAATATAGTGATAAAAACATGATATAATGGTGTAGATAACATTTGTATCATTGTCATTAATACATCTATTCATATTAAATGGAAATGTTTTAAAAAGCCATCAATCATTCGGCAAACATGTTAATCAATTGTTAGCATAAAACATGTATTTTTTTGTGAATATTTTCTGGAGGCAATAAATAACAATTATTTACTGCGAAAAGTCTTAGTTTTTCTTTGTTTCTTTAAACCAAATTAAAGAAATTTACACGTGTAGCAACTTCAAAAATATTCCTTTCCAATCAAAATATTTACCACAGCCCAAATACTTATTAGAAGGAATTTAAACATGTTTGAATTTTCATATGACTTACTAAATTTGGGACAATGGATAAAATCTAAAAAAAATGCGCAGATTTCTCCCAAAAGATATATATTGATCTTTTCTTTTTATCTTGTAAATTGTATTTCTGTCTTGTCAATCAATGGTCCTTATCTTCTCTGATATATCTTTGTCAGTAATATCTAGGAATTTCCCATCAATTTATTGTTGTTTTTAGGTAGAGATTGCAAAGATTTAAATATATTTTTGTTGTTTTACACATTCTAGCTATAACTTAAATGTTATTCTCTTTATAAAAATGTGTTTGTATATGCTTTCTGTATATATTTATGTTGTATAAATTGAAATAAATTGTTTAAACTAACAAGTAGCTTGTATCACTTGGCCCTTAGAATGTAAGGTTTCAAATCACTATTTCATTTCTTTCTGCTTTAAAATCACATACACATTCAAATACACGCCAGCAACATAGATATCGGCATCTCAAAAACAATAGTGGGTTTTAAGTTAGACTGTTTCCTAAATAATCCTCGGGAAAATGATGGAGTAGATTTTAATGTAAGAAGTATCACCGTCTTTAAATGCATTGCCCTGACTGTGAACGGTAATCTTACAATCGAAATTTCCTTAAGATATTGAAACGGAGATATTTCTAACCTGCATGAGTGATCTCAATAATAATCATTTATTATTAAAGTGTTTGCTTGCGATTAAAATTTTTAAAAAGTACATTAGCTCTGTATGTACCTACCCTAAACACGCACTTTTTTATTTTGAATTTCAAGTTAAATGTTCAATTACAAAAATTATATGCTATAAATGATACAGATAATGTTTTCCTTGGTGGATACAATCAACTTAAAATGTTGAAAAAAATATCCGCAGTGCTTTAAAGATAAAGTACTTTTGGTTTCATCTTATCTTTGATCTTTCAAAGGAATGAAAGTTAAATATTAAAATACACTTTTGAATGTTTATTTACAGATCATCTTTAACTAAATGAAAAATGCATATTTTGGGGAAAAGTGCTTCAAAATACATAGTGTATATCCCAAAGTTTGTCTATATATATATTTAATTAAGTATAATGTAAAGAACACACAGTTCAATAGATTAAATTCTGTTTGATGTAAAACATCAATGTTAGTTCTGACTGATAAATCTAATATCGTACAATGAATTAACTTCTTCAAAATAATTCATAATCAACGGAAAATGAATATCAGATATAAGTTTAATGTATTTGATTCTAATTACTTGCACACAGAATGATTTTACAAAATCTCTAGAAAAACATAGATGTAGTGAATACTGTAAACGCAGAACAAATTAATGTATGTGATGTTGACGACACTGGCAATATTTTACTTTATATATAAATAAAGAAATCATGTAACTGTGTAGTCACTAAGGTCTCCTGACATTTCTTCTAAGAACTATATTACATAATTGCTGTAACATTGATAATTGAGAGTTTCTATGTACCCGAGACACTCTTTTAAATTATATACACTTTCGTAGTAACAGACAAGTATTCGAAATTATAAATAAAGTAATTACTTCTAATTACTTCCATTTTGCTACAGATTTCTAAGGATAATGGATATGGCATAATGATATTTTTTTTGTATTATGTTTAACCCTGATTATTACTGAGTTTTATTTTATGCTTTTCAGTGGATTACTGATTTATCCGTGAAAATTATATTTGATAATTTCACAGTGAAAATTATCAAAATATAATTTCACTTTTTTCAATGACGAAACTACTTTTTTAAGATTTTCCCCATGTGGTACCTCAATTTTATTTTTACTGACAATTCTGACAATATCAGGCTGTTAAAAAACTAGCAAAGCTGAAATAGATAAATAACTTAAATGTCAAAAGTAATAAAGAGAGAAAACTTACTTCTATTCCTTCAAATTCCAATCACTAAATTTCGTCTCTTAATTTTTTTGTTTCGTTTTTACAGTCTGAAAAACACATTCCTTCCCCATGCTAAACTGCTCTTGATGACATTTGGGCATATTAAAGTATCCTACGAGCAATAACTGCCGTATGCTTTATGAAAAATTGAAAAGCATTGACAGCCATCACTCGTAAAATAAGTAAATCAACCCAGCGTTCCTTACAAAGCCTTAGCAAGCTTCCAAGTTTTCCATTTTCCTAGCTCCTTTTCTGAATGTTTTCACTTCTGTCAACACTTATTTTTTGTCTGTTACAATCCTCAAATAAGTTTTCTTTCTTTTAAAAAGGTGTATGACTAACAAATCCAAATTATACCCTTCTGAATCTTACACAATTATTTTCCTCCCATGAAATACACAACTTTAAAAAATGGCTGCCGCTTACATTTTACAAAGCCAGGTCTAATATAAATTCGCAGTAAGTAACAGAAATATGGATGGATGGTTGGACTTTTTCTCCTAAAAGAATTGTTTGTTTTTATTATTAAAACAAGCAATAATTCATATTTTTTTAATAAAATGAATAAATATCACCGTCATTCAACCTTGATTAGCGGACTTATTTTTCAGCTCAAGACTTCTTGTTTTTAATGAGAAATTCCCTCTAAATGGGGCTCTCAATGGGGAAAACAGATTTTAATATTAACGTTAAAATTATGGAAATTTCGTTTTAACTTGTTTTAAAGCATAAAATAAAAAGAAAATTTGTCTGTTTGTTGTGTAAGATGTAATTTTATTTCATCTCGTGAGCTTTAAAAACAGTATTCTCACTCGTGGCTACGCCACTCGTGAGAATACTGTTTTTAAAGCCCACTCGATGAAATAAAATTTCATCTTACACACAAACAAACAAATATCCTCTATGTAATTATAATGCATTGTATAGCATTGATAAACATTCTTTAATAATAATATTGTATACATAAATAACTATTTTACATTAGGATGTTTAGTACATATTAACTTATAAATAAATCCTTTAAATCTAATTTCAATCCTCATTGCCGGTGACAAAATATATCAAAATTCTAACTATCTTGAATTTAAACCTACTGCAGCCCATGCTCCTTTATTAAATGCTTATAAATTGTTGCATCTGTTTCACTGATAAACGTATTGATAAACGTTTTGATAAACGTATTGCAAAACCTGATAATAGCACAAGTATCTAAAACTATTTAAGATGATATTAAACGAAAATATATAGGATATTGAAGATCTTTTAAAATTTCATATGACAAGGGCATTATGTTTCTGATGTTTTAAGTTGAAATTCCCACAAAGATTCTAAATGTTTTACTCTTACATTGATTGCTATATCTTTACATCTTCAAAAAGATGAAACTATATTTTAAAGAACATTAGCATTATAATCTAAGCGTACATTAATATGTTATATTTATTTTAAATCTGAGAAAGTTTTGTGTTTATATCTCACAAAGTCTTCTGATAAGTAATTTTGGAAGTGAAGTTAAGTACGAACAGACGGTTAATATATAATAAAGTTATCAAATAGTATAAGGTGGATATTTGATGATAAGGTACAAAAAGAGGAAAGATACACAAGGATCAACCCGCCTCCTATTCTTGTACTGATTATGAGTTGATGTATTTACAGACAGAATATGATATAAGTAATTCAATTTCAATGCTGTATCTTGAAGAAGAGCATCATTTTATGTAGAAGCAGCCACTTTTCAATTACAATATGCTTTCATTTTTCATTTTTAATGTGTTTATTTATCTAATTACATAATAATATTTGAGTTATGTTAGCTGTTTTGATCCAGTAATAGTATCAAATTTAAAAGTGATAATTGAATAAGACGGTTTTTATTACAACTCTCAGGTTAGTGGCCAATTGAGACGAATAACAATTCATTGGATGGAACATATGAAGTCGGTTTGTAACTGTGTAAATATGCCATTCTCTGTCTATTTATGGTAAATACAACCTGTATTTCTTCAGTAATTTCCTTTTTGTACAGATAAAGTCACATCAAATACAATTTATAATCATCCGCTGGTAATTAGCACTTATCACTGCTTATTTGAAAAAAAATTGTATTTGATAGAAAATTTGGAAAAGATAGAATCAGATAAATTGCATAGCTTTGCATTAATGAATTGTTCTGAATTCTCGTAAGTCAGTATTGATATTTTCCTGTTATCTTGTAAATTGTATTTTATATCATCAATCACAGGCCGTATCTTTTCTGATATATCCTTGATAATAGTTTCTATGCATTTTTATAGTACATTAAAAGCAAAATCAGAACGAAAGAAACACAACAATATGTGTTTGTTTTCCTCTCTATCAGGCATGCTATTACTTGATACACATTTTTCATTATGCATTTAATTTAATGGATAAAAGTTTATGATAGAACCATCATAATGGTACAAATTAAAAGCAACGAGTACTCCGTAAAAATTTTCTGTCTTAAATTACAAGATTGCATTGAGACTGAGTATAACACATCTATTCTGTTGAAACTACAAATTAATTTATTCGCAATGAAAAAGGTTTTTAACTTCACAATCTGTTAATAAGCCACTAGTGTGAATTATAAGGTTAAAGCAGTGTTTAGTTGTGCTAAGAAGCGTCTATGCTAACATACACAAACTATCTTATCATCACTGTCTTATGTGTTCCTTCCGTTCCTCCATGTTTTCTCTCAATTATCGAAATCACAAGATCCCATAATAATCAAATGGAGTGTGTTGTTTTTTTTCTAATTATACCAGTCAAATAGGGATTTATATCTGACCGCAAAGGATTGAGGTTGAATTTGTTAGGAAGTGCCTCTTTCAATGGCATGGAAAAGCAAGACTAACACATTCTTGTTAGGTGCTTTCTGGATGCATTTAATTTGATATTTAGCTCGTTTTATTGTAACTACTAATTTCTA